AATAAACCGGTTGATCCTATCGATCTAGCTATAAAAAATCAAAAAGGTGTTGGAAGTAAGTTTAAATAGTATAAAAAGTGCAACGCAACTAATATTGATAATAGAAAACGAAATTGCCCTCAATGTAATGAGAAATTGGATACATTGGCTACTTTACAAACCAAATCTGCTAGTGAAATTCACAATATAGCTCCCAAACCAAAAACCCTTATAATAAAGCCTCATACATATACTCATGAAAAAGAAAGTTTATTTTTCGAACATGTTAATATTACGCAATGATCAGAACCTGAGCATGGTGTAATCGTTCTGGAAATGCATGTGCCAGATCCATTAGAACTTAATCCCAATTCAGTAAATAATATTAAAAATTTTTTTGAATATATACAAGATATTGTGGGAATAGACCAAGGAATGCGAAAATGGCTACCAGTTACTTGTAATGGTGTTCTATATAATCTAGCTCAAAAGATTAAAAAGGACTTTCCGTGGCTTATATTGATTCCTAAGGCATTGCACGAAGAAATGAATATGCTCAAGGCATTCATAGAACTAAATTGGTATCTTTTTTTTTTTGTTAATATAGAATATAAATTATACCTTTCATTAAAAATTCTACCATTCTGACAATTTTTGTCTATCTTATTCGACTTAAGGGCAATTAATATCAAGCAATTCGTGATTTTTCAAGGATACAAAACTGAAAACCAACTTAAATTTTTTAAAAAGTGTGCGGACCATCATAAATCATGGAATTCTATTTGCAATATTTATCAGCATGCTATAACTTGTGAATTATTGTGGCTATACATAGTCAAGAGTGAAAATTCTTCGGTTCATGGCTATCTAGAGTGGGCAAAAAACCAAAATGATCATCTATATAAACTAAAATTTGAACAGGTAAATTTTTAACAATAAACAAATATATCTAAAATCCTTTGCTTATGATTATTATAGACTTTTATCTACCTTCAGGCAATTATTAACTTTTGTACAGGTATAAGAAACAACCGCTCTTTATTGGTGAATGCTGCTCGGCATATATTTGTACCAATATGGTTTGGACGTAGGCACCCCATATATCGTTTAATTAAAATAACCTACGAGGAGCAATTGATGCGATTAAATCCTGAGATTAGACGATATATAGAGTTATATTCAGTTGTTTCATAGTCAGGTTATCATAACTAGCATCAAGGCCTTGATGCTATTATCGAAGAAGTCAATAAGTCATTAAAAGCCTTGATTTCACCTGTGCCTTCACAAAAACATTGGAGAATAGCAGCACACAGTTGTACAAAATTCATAAAGGTAATACTATATATTATTTAAATAAAAAAGTATTTAAATTTTTAATATATAATTTTAAATAATCATTAGCTGTGTCATATATTATTCAATATAATTGGGTATACCGATAATGAATCATCCGAAGGTCAAACACGTCCTGACTATACCACAGAATCACATTGATTTCAAGTTCAATTACGAAAAGCTAGGTTTTTGAATCTCCAAAATAATGACCGTGCATTTAAAAGTCTTGGAGAGGAGCATCTTCTTAGTGAACAACTGAAAAATTTTAGTAATTTAGCATGTGAAAGGCAAATAACGTTTATTGATGAAACTTTTAAAAAAAACATGCCAAGTTTATTACCTTGGCCAATCCCTGTTACAGCTCAAGAAGCGGCAGCAGCAGCGAATGAGGAAAATATGACAAGAAAAGAGCTTTTAATAATTATAAATTCATTGTTAAATTCTATTAATGATTCTAACCGTCCAAAGTATCGTGGACTGCAGCAAAAAACACATAGCGAACTGCGAGAGATCTTGCAAAGTATCAGAGACTTGCACAACAATCAGGAACTTAAAAATGAAATAGACTTAGAAAATTAATAATTAATTATTAATCTATATCAATTGATATTTTGCAACTGTCTAAAATCATACTAATGATCATCATCTTTAGTAAATTTTAGAAACCAAATAAGAGTTTATCTCTGTCCTTAGTAGCTTTAAAACTATTTGAGTATATCGTATTGGTTATCGATTTTGATGGGATTAGTTTTAGGAGATTTCATATAATATTATTGTATTATGATAATTATGAACAGCAAAACATTTGATTGATACTGTTAAACTTCCCAAAACTGATCCTGTCAAGATTGATAACCCACCAAAACTGATAAAGAATTAACTTACCAAGTCTATTTCCGCTATATGAATCTAATAGTTTATAATGTTCTCAAATATGATAACCTCTCAATACTGATACTAAATCTGTCTGCTATTATATCAGTTTTGAGAAGTTCAACTATATTACACTTTTAATTGATATTCATATTCATCAATGATTATACTTTAAAATCAAACTATTAACTTCAGTAAGTTCGAAATACAAAAGTCTTGATGTGATAGTAAACTTGAATACCTAAAATTTGAATTTACATTCTTTTTTAGTTAAATCTATTGCTATTAAAAGGGACAAAAAAAGATGTACCTTAGAGATTCATAATTTACTCTTAAATTTCTAACAAAACTTCCGACCTTAATATGTATTACTATAAATTATCATATACAAGACCCAGGTCTGTTACATTCAACCGGTTTTAAAACCATACAGACCCCAGGTATAGTACATGGCTGAGAGAAAGAGAAGAATCTTAAGGTGTATATGTTGTAAGTGAAAATGGAATTTAAGTGGATTCGGAATTTCCTAGTTAAATTAGGGCTAGAAAACGGGTGTTCAGATGATAAAATCAACCCTAAAATAATGGTTTTATATAAAAATTCCGAATCTACTTAAATTCTGTTCCCATTTACAACATATACGTATTTTATACTTATAGTAAACATTCGAAAAAAACCCGTATTTCTGTATTTGATAATGAAGATCCTGTGGTTTGCAGCCGAGTCTAATATATGGTGGGTCTACTATCAAAGGAGATTTTTTATACGTTAATTAACAATCCTACAATGTAATAAAAAAAAAGCCAAAAAGTAGTTAGAAATTCAATAAACTATAGTCTATAAGCTTTAAAATTGCTTTTTTCAGGTCTCATTTACTTTTTTTAAAAAAATTGATTTCGGTTGATTTTCTATTGATTATAAAACCTTGCACCTTCTACTTTTTACATATATAATTATTAGTAATCAACAGATATCAAAAATTTTCAATTAAAAAGTATGGATTATGAGCCAATAAAAGTTAAAGAAATTTTATAGATTATTCTGGAATCGATCTTCAATATTCTAAAATGATATCTGTTATACAAATCAAATTTGGAAATATCTCTGACTGTAATTGTACTTACCTTATAGCACTGCATATAGTACCCTGGGTACTTTTCAAGAAAGCTGGCCTAGATTGAATAATATCTCCCAAATATTGAGAGATGAAAGGGCAATTTAAATAATCGTTACTGGTCAATGCAGCAATGTATATCTTGCTATTAAACATATCAAACGATTGTACTTTTAATTATGAAATTGTGCTACAAATCGCTTATCAAAAAATGAGGAGATACTATTCTAGGGGTACTATACGCAGTGCTATACAGTAATATATAAAATATTACTATATGTCCATATATACAGCTTAAATTGTAAAGTACCTTAGATATTTTAGTCCACACTATACGGTAGTCAGTCGATTAAAATCTTTAGTTGTCGACTGACTAAAATGTAATCAATTAGCTGACTAATCAACTAATAGCTCAACAAATGCATATTTTAGTTGAGTGATTGTTTAAATCTCCAATCAGCTAATTAAAATTTTAGTTTAATAATTAACTAATTTTTAATTCCTATTTTTATTTTTAGGAGTCACGGCCCACTGGCTTAATGAAGACTGGGAAATTTAAAGTCATGTACTCGATCTTGCACCGTTCGAAGAATCGTATTCTGGGATAAATATAGCAAATACTTTGATCAGTATTTGTGAGGATTTTGGTATCACCAGTAAAATACTTGGGATAACTGTTGATAATGCTTCAAATAACAACACTCTACTTGAAGCATTTGAATTACTTTCTACAGATCTTGGTAGTTCTTTTACCAAAGAGCAAGGTCATGTCTGCTGCTTTGCCCATATTATTAATCTTGCTTTGCAAGATTTTTTATCTTATCTATATTCTGATGCACTGGATCCAACACCTCTAATACTTCTCAAGTTCCAACTATTAAAAAACTTCGTAAACTTATCACAAAAATTCGGTCTTCACCTCAACATCATCAAAGGTTAAACGAATCTTGTAAATCTCTTAATATTAAATATAAGAGTCTAGTTCTTGACTCAAAAATATGATGGAACTCAACTCTTAATATGATTGAACAAGCTATTGCTATGGCTCTAACGATTAATAAAATGGTTAGCAAATCTCTTAAGCTAAATATAGTGGCAATCATAAATAATGGATCAAAAAAAATTTTTTAGTTAGATCGTGTTATCTCACTCAATTCCGGGCATATCTGTTAGTTTTTTTTTTTTAATTCGCAAACAGTATCTTTTTTAAATATTAGAATTTTAGTAGTCATTATTATTGCCGATGCAAAAATAATCATGTGTGTATCACAAAACATGTATTGCATTATTTTTGCTTGTTTTTAACAAAGATCATATGGTGTGACTTGTGCCACATAAATACATATAAAAACATAGATTTCATTATTAACTTTGCATCTTGTGCAATATTAGAACTTATTAATAATCAAAACAAAAAAAAAAGAACTATACGACTCTTGACAAACGAGCCCAAATATTATTTTCACTTCAAAAAGGATATACTACAAGGCAATAAGTCAGACCCACAATATTAGTTGTTTTACAGTCTCCTGTATTAAAAAAAAGTGGTTAGAAACCTGCTCGCTTGAAGATTTAGAAAGGACTAGTTGCCCACCTTTGTTGGGTGAACCAGCCCAAAGAAAGATTGTGAACTTAGTTATCTCTCGCCACTGCTCTACTGCTGTGCAAGTATGGTCCCACCTGAGAGAAAAAGAAAACTTTGATATTTCGGAGTCTACTATTCGTTGTATACTTCGAAGCTATAGTTTAGTGTCAGGGTTAAAAAAAAAAAGCTCTACCTGAGTGACTATTATAAAAAAAGAATGGCTCAAATTTGCAAAAAAGTATAAAAATTGGACCGTTGAAGACTGGTCAAAGGTAATCTGATCCAACGAGTCAAGATTCCAAATTTTGGATCAGATGGTAAGCAGTACTATTAGAAACATTCTGAGGAACCGTTAAACAAGTTCTATGTAACGCCTACAGTAAAATATGGGTGGCT